GCACAGTTTCTCATGGTGTAGGGGCCTTTCCCACAGAAAGCATTTTCACGCATCTCACGCATGACAACATGCCATTATAAAATCATGGCGCTCAAGTTAAAGTTAGTTGAACTTTTAAAAAAACGACTAGGGAGCCACCCCCCCTCCATTCCACTGCCTGTGTCTCACATTTTTCAAAGCAAAAAACTTTTTTAATTTTTAATATTCTTAATTCACCCAAAAATGAAAATGACCCCATGATTTACTCACCCTCAAGCCATCCTAGGTGTATATGACATTCTTCTTTCAGACGAATACAATCGTAGTTATATTAAATAATGTCCAGGCTAATCCATGCTTTATAAAGGCAGTGGAGGATAGCCCAAAATTTGAAGTCCAAAAAATTGCACCCATCCATTATAAAAGAAGTCCACACGGCTTCTGAAGAGACGCGATGCATGTGTGTAAGAAAACTTTCTAAACCTTAATCTCTAACTTCCGCTAACTGTCGTACGCGCGTTCACGAGAGAGTGACGTCCAGCGGATGATGTAAGACGTTGGCGTAGCGTAAACTCCGGTGAGAATATGCTAGTCTCGCGAGAAACAAGTTTTGTTTACAGCAAAGGAAAACCAGTGTCCTCTTGGCTTATATCGAAATTCTCCGACATTTTTCTTTACAAATCCTCGTTTTATACTACTAATTCATGACCGGTGTTTTGTTTCGCTACATCCTTTGTGCCTCCACGTTCATCACTTCCGCGTTTTGTCACCGCGTTTTCCTATGTCCTACGTCATCCGCTGGACGCCATTCTCTCGTGAACGAGCGTACGACAGTTAGTGGAAGTTAGAGATTAAGATTTAGAAAGTTGTAAATATGGATATTTTTAGGGCTGCAACTAACGATTATTTTGATAATCGGTTAGTTGGTCGATAATTTTTTCGATTAATCGATTAACCGGATTTAAAAAATATATTTTATTGACAAAAAACACTATTCCTACATTCTGCTTAATGTCCTTCATACAAACGTGCCAACTGAATGCTATGAAAACATACAGTGCTTAACAAATTATTAGACCACCTGCCATAATAAAGAGAAAACAAAACACATTTTAGGAATGTCTAATTATGTCTACATTTTTATTGTCATTTATTGGGCAAATAAACTTAAACAACTAGATAGTATTTATTCACATAACAAAAAATGGCCTCCTATGCCCTTCAAAACAGCTTGCATTCTTGCTGGCATTGTTTATGTACTTTTTGACTGTAATTGGGTATCTGAAAAAAAACACTATAAAGCTCTCTGCCTTTCTTTCATAGATAACAGCAATAATTATATTATAGCATTAGAAGTAGACTACTACTGTTACTAAAGAGCTTACGCATATTGGAGGACTAACCAATACAGAAAGCTAAAAAATTATTTTGGTAATCACCAGTACTGTTAGTTTAGAGCAGCAGTGGCACAAACCATAATTTGTTACATAAATTTGGTTAAGCATTGTATATAGTGAATATAGTTTAAATCTCTGCATTAAAAATTAAAATAATAATAAAGATGATAAAGACGAATAAAATCACAAACTCAGTGGTAACCAATAGGTAAGAGTAATGTTCTGCAGGAACACGTTCACTTTGATCACAGTCACCTCTTAGTGTCATTTCTTTATCCTGTTAAAGGCGGTTATGAAGCGTCTGATATTTATATTCAGAAAATTACAGTTCCCTTTCAGTCGGTCACTCCCGACATCACTTCGGATGACCGGCGAAATTGGGATCTCGCTTAGAGGGACCAATCTACTTTGAGTGTAAACTAAACAAGCCAATGCACATTGGCATGCGATTATTGCATCCAGCTGCTGCTGATCACAGCGTAAGTATAAGTAGGCAGCAGATGCAGCGCATATTCAGCTTTTCGCTTCGGAGCCGAGCGATCACATCGTTCTGGTCCTGACTACTGTACTGAGAGAAGAAGACTGAACGAGTTCAGCATGCTCTTGGAGACCTCTTCGTGTTGGCGGTACGGCGCTTCAGCGGTGGTGGTTTCCCGTGTCGAGTGGGTTGCACACATCAGGCTGCACTACCCCCTGTTTGTGTTGCAAATGATCATCTCCCCTGTGTGCCTCAGCACACTAAAAGAGCTTTTTCCCCTAAAAGAGCAATTTCGGGTGCGTCGTGGATGCCATCACCCTGGCTTATCAGGCACAGGGTGTGCCCTGCCCGTTCAGGTTGCGAGCTCACTCAACTAGAAGTGTTGCATCCTCCTGGGCGCTGGCTCGTGGCGCCTCGCTGGTGGATATCTGTAGAGCTGCGGGCTGGGCGACCCCTAACGTCCTACACGTTCGCCACATTTTATAGCCTTCATGTGGAGCCGGTGTTCTCCTGTGTTCTCACCTCAAGCGGGTAGAAGCACCGAGGGGCCCCGGCTTCAGGTCGGCTTGCAAAACCACTCCAGAGAGTCCATACAGTAGACCCTGTTGAGTTCCTCCGTCCCCTCCAATTCAGGAAGGTTCGAGCTTCCGTAACGTCCCTGGAGCGGAGACGTTCCTACTCTCATAAAATACTCGCAATGCATGTTGACCTTTAAACCTTAATTTAACTTTCAACAACAGATACTTCAGCATGATAAATGTTTTTACGCTGATTATTAATTGTCAATGTTTTCCGTCTGTCTGACGCACGTGCACGCACGCGCCCGCCGCTCATTCAGTAAAGATTTCGACTTAAAGCAGACTGTCAGGACGGACCTTTATGCAAAAATGGAAATGCTCATATGAATTTGTGACATTTATACATAAAAATATGACCGTAAACCAAAAATTTTTGCGCTGAGGAGTGAGGATGCACACGCATCATCTGTCAAAGCACCTTACGGGGCAAGCCATTATGCTAATGCATTAGCTTAAAGCTTAAAATAAAGAATTCTCATGTTTTGGGCAGCTTGGATCACGTAACTCTCCCACAGCATCTCATTCCATTTCCTCCACTATTTTTAGATGCATTTTATCCATAGAAATGCGTAATTCAGTTCTGTAATTTGACGCAACCAGCTGAAGTTGGACGTGCACTGAGGGCAGACCTGACTAATCGATAAGGAGAATCGTTGTCGATGATTTTCATAATCGATAATAATTGATTTTATCGATTAGTTCAGTGGTTCTCAATTCCAGTCCTCGCATACCCCTGCTCTGCATGTTTTGCATGTTTCTTTGTTAACACACCTGATTCAGATCATCATCTCGTTAGAAGTGAGTGCATGAACTGTGTTCCGATTGACATGGTCCCTACACAGTGTCCATTGCTCCCTACTCCCTGAGCAGGGGAAGTCCGTTGAAGTTTACTTCACTTCGTAATATTCATTTACAGATTTGTGCTGCGCCACTGCCTGCAGTGTCTTCACAGTGAGTTTAACAGTTTATTCCTGCTTGTGGCTGTTTTAATGAATAATGCATGCGTCTATGTCTTTAACGCTGGCCTCTGTCCATTTAATCTACTTCACAGTGAATGAATGAAGCAGCCTTCTGTTAAAATTGGATATAGATTTCAGGGGAATGAAAACTTGTCAACAGCAACCCATTTTCAATTTACTTAGTAAGCTTCTTTGCAGAGGCAAACATTTACTATTATAAAAGGCCTTAGCTCAGCTGACGGTAACGGATGAAAGCACGCAAGAGGCCTTTAGTCTTAAGAAGCCCTTAACATTCTCTTAGGGCAAACTCTCAACCTCGCTCAGGTTTCAGCCTTTGTTAGTGCTGTCAAGTGCATTCTTCCATGAGAGTTTAACAATTCATCCAGACAAACGGTGATTGAATGGGCTGTTTATCGCAATCAACTGTGCTGACACAGCTATGTTTACTCTGCAAGACCTTTTTCCCCAGTAGCTCATATCTGCACTAAATGCAACAATATGATACCTAATTCTGGGAATCTGTGCTATCCATTGTGAAAAAGAAGTGTGCTTAATTGTATCAAATGGGTACTTGTAGTGTACTTCAAATCTTAAAAGTATATTTTAAAAAACAAACTCGCAGAAAATATTACTGAAATAAAAGGCCACTTAAATGTACTTAAAAGAGAGCATCTAAATATTCTTAAATCAAGATACATTTACTTGAGAAGCAAAATGATTAATATTAAGTCTTGTTTTCTGAAAACAGCACTAGTATAATTACTTGCCAATACATTTGGCAGTACACTTAAACCACATTTCAAAGGCAATTTCAGGTAACACTTTACTTGAAGGGGTGTGCATAAGACTGACATGACACCTTCATAATCAATATGAAGGAGGTTTTATGCATGGTTATGACAACTGTCATTAAGTGTCATTCGCTCAGTTATGTCATTTTTAATGCAAATATGACATTATTTGACCTAACCCTACCCCTACCCTTACCCCTAACCATAGCCCATAACAAAGACATCTCAAACAATGTCATCTTTGCATTAAAAATTACATAACTGAGCGAATGACAGTTGTCATAAACATGCATAAAAAACCTTCATATTCATGACATGTGTCATGTCTTGATTATGAAGGTGTCTTGTCAGTCTTATGCACACCCCTTCAAGTAAAGTGTAATCCAATTTCACACTAATTTTAAAATGTCATATAAAGATGCACTTAAGTCCTACTAAAGTGAGTCAAAAAAGCGATCTTAAGTTTGACTAACTGCATTTAATATAAATTTAAACTATAATTCATTTAATTTAATTGCACATAACATGCACTTAAGTATCCAAACACATGACAGTACATTGAGTTTGCACTTAAGTATATTATTTTAAGGTATTTTATTTCCTTAAGTGCTCTTATAAAATATGCTAAAGTGTACTTCTTTTTCTCAAGGATGGGCATCTGTGAGCTTGCTTACAGGAAGTTCACCCAAAATTTTAATCATTTAATTATTACACATGGCGTAATTGTTTGGTTGAAAATAAGATGTGTCACACTGCTGAAAAGCCCATTATTATGATTTTTATGAATACCATATGAATTATGGCTGATGACTTTGCAGTTGAGGATCCATTCCTGGTGGTGGTGAGAGACAGCATCATTTACGGCATCCCGCTCAACCCGAATGACAAGAGCAATGACGCAATGGTGCCGGTCGCCGGGCTGCTGAATGGATATGACGTCGACTTTGATGATGCTGAGCAGATGATCTATTGGGTGGAACATCCGGTAAATCATATAAACACTTCAACTATCCTATCTCAAATCATTTTAACTAGTTAACAGGTGTTTTGAATGCTAAAATTCAGATTTTGTCTATTAATTGTATCTTATTTATCTGCACAGGGGGAGATTCATCGAGTAAAGTCAGATGGTACCAACAGAACTGAGTTCGCGCCAGCAGCCATCCTGGGTTCTCCAGTCGGACTAGCTCTGGACTGGATGTCTCGGAACCTGTACTACTCCAACCCTGCATCGCAGTCTATAGAGGTTGGCAAGACTTTAGATCTCATTCCCCGGCATCATAAATTGTTCTTGTCAGGGCTGAGTGTTATTTCTGCATGCTGAAGATTTTCTGAAGAAAAGTTTAAACACCCATTTCATCAATGTTAAAAACTAGCTTAGGTCTTGTAACCAGTAGTTATATATATATATATATATACATAATAAATATACACAGAACACGCACATATTATGCAAACACAAACTTTTATTTTGGATGCAATTAATCGCGGTTAATCGTTTGACAGCACTAAAAATAATATATAAATAATACTAAAATAACACTGGAAACAAGAAGATCCGAGTTAAAAATGATGAAAATCATTGTTTTCAACACAAAAATACATAAATGTTGTACTCATATTAATGTAAACACTGTCAGTTTGTCTCGAGTAAATGTAAGCAGGCGAAACAAAAATCCTGTGCATTTGGCTTCAATTATTGAATATTTACTTGAATACTTGATACTGCTACAAATTTCATTTGTATTGTTTTTCTTTGTTGTACTGCTTGTAATTCATTTCTTTGTTCTCTGTTTTTGTATTACTTACTTGTATTATTATTTGAACTACCTGAGAAAATATTTGCTTAATATACATTTTTTTAATGTAATTTGTTTAAACATTTTAAATATTTAAGTTGTTAGTTATGCGGTGGTATTTAAATTGGTAACTATAATTGAGAAATGTCACTGGTACTGTTATTGTGACAAACCCAATCTGATTTGTTTCAGGTTCTCAGGCTAAAAGGAGAGATTCAATACAGAAAGACTCTCATCACTAACAACGGCTCACCTACTGGTGCAGGAGCTCCCGTTGGCATTGCGGTGGATCCGGCACGTGGGTAAGTCCAGATAAGCAGAAGTCTGGAATTAACCCTGATCCCCAAATTCAACAAGCTCCAGCTGATTTAATGTCATTTGCCAGGACTGAACTGCCTGAGCTCACTAAACAACAGTCAACTTAAAGCACACATAGTCATGATCAGTCCTGAGATTGTATACTTATATACTGATTATATACTATATAAGAATGAAATAGCTGTATTTGTATACAAACACATAGGCAAAAGAGCAGTTTTTCCCATACGTTATGGTTTTGCATACATGATGCTATTCTGTTTAGTGACGATCTGTCTTTGTTTTAGAAAGATGTACTGGACAGATCAGGGAACAGAGAGCGGGATCCCGGCCAAGGTGGCATCAGCAGATATGGACGGCTCCAATGCAGCCATCCTCTTCACCCATAATCTGGAACATGTGGAGTTCATAACCATAGACATCAGAGAGAACAAGCTCTACTGGGCCGTTACAGGAACTGGCGTGGTATGCCAGTCAGAAACATTCATGTAGAAATATAAATATCTTATGTTCACCAAAGCTGAGTATATCTGACCAAAAATACAGTAAAAACAGCAATATTGTGAAATATTAATACAATTTAAAATAACAATTTAAATGTATTTTAAAATGGTATTTATTCCTGTGATGCAAAGCTGAATTTTCTCCAGTCTTCAGTGTCACATGATCCTTCAGAAATCATTCTAATCTGTTTTGGAAGTTTAAAAGAACAAGAAATCTTTTGTAACATTTATAAATGTTTTTACCCACTTTTGATTAAATTGATGTGTCCCTGCCGAGTATTATTTCCTATAATAGTGTGTTTATGTATATACATTTATTTGTTTATTTTTGCATCCACCTTAGAACCCATATTGGTCGTTATTTCGTTTTGACACCCGTTATGTATCTCCACCAAATTAAAACTTATTTAACAGAATTTTAACAGAATAACTCAACGGTTTCTTCCGTGTTTCAGATCGAGCGCGGTGATCCCGATGGATCAAACCGCATCACTATGGTGAATGGACTGTCCCATCCGTGGGGTGTGGCCGTATACGACTCCTACCTGTACTTCACAGATCGAGACTTTGAGGTGATTGAACGCGTCGACAAAGCCACGGGACTCAACCGGGTCGTAATGCGGGATAACGTGGCCGGTCTCAGAGTCCTCAAAGTGCACTACAGAGACTGTGAGTATGATAAATACTAAAAACAAATGCATATAGCATAATGGCTCTGTTCATGCAAACCTCCGCACGTCATACAAATAGCTCCTCCTGCACAAAGTGCACAGAATATGCATAATTGATTTCAGTGGAGTTTGGTGCCCTAATAAAGCAAGTGATGACAAGTTAAAAATACACAATACCGTGTTGAAAAAAACTGCATATGCTGGTTAGGTATGTTTTGAAGCATGGTAGCTGGTTTAAGCTGGTCCTGAACTGGTCCTAAGCAACTAGCTCCTGCTTAGGACCATTTATAACCAGTTTATAACCAGCTACCATGCTTCAAAACATACCTAACCATCATATGCTTGTTTTTTCAGCAGGGATATGATAATAACAAACGACAGTTGAAAAAAAACTGTATTAAAATAAGCTGCTATTGAATTAAAAAAGATAATAAACAAATAAATAAGTATATAAAAAATAGACATTTATCAAGATGGTATGATCATGTTGCTAAGCTAACAACATGAACTCTAATAAACATACAACTACACATCACACACAAATGTTAGAAAAAATAGTACATTTTTAATTAATTTCAATTTAATTTAAGTACTTTATTGGCATGATTTTTTGCATACAATATTGGCAAATCATACAGAGAACAAGCAATAACAAGCCAAACAAAATACTATATGACAATTAGGGATGCACCGAAATGAAAATTCTTGGCACATGAAAAAAATGTGACTGAGCAACTGACGAGTAACACTGTTTCAGCGCAGATTTTCCTCACGCTTTGGACTTTGAACCCTGGCTAATGAGCAGATAGCGCTGTCAGAATACATGCAATTTGTGCGTGTATTAGAAAACATAATGTTCTGCTAATTGTTGAAGGCCATTTCGCGATTTTAATCAGCAACAATCACCCCTTCCTCTTCTCATCGAAGACATGCGCTGCAGTCCTAAACAGTCTCTCGCTAATGATTTTTGCATCTTTCTTGGACACTTTTAAATACTTCCACACTGATGACATGTTTGTTGCATTGCGCCTCTCACTCTATGCTGGTTGCTATTTGATCGCGTCACGTTATTGTTCGGTACAGTTTATTCGCTTTTCACTTATTCGAATAATTTCGAATTCGAATTTCGGTTACCGAACATTCGGTGCATCCCTAATGACAATAACGAACAACAGTTTAAATTTTTAGCTGCCTGTGTAGGCATCTCTCAGTGCCATTTTTTTAACATTTATCTCTGATTCATTCTGCGGTTGACGTAGGGTGGTCTTTTCTGGAAGTCATCGTAACCTTGATGGCCGTGTAGCAATTACCAGAGAGCGATGAATGACTTTCAATAGGATATCAGTTTACCAATTAGTTCCCCTCTGCCTCAGGGGGACACTCAGCTTTATGCGGAGAAGAATCAGTGTCCCTTTGTTCGGTGTTCAGTGCACATGTTCATTCTCCAGGGCTGTGAACGCCGTCTATTGTATAAGTGCTTCCAGTAAGATCTGGAAGTGCTAGCAAAGCAGAGTCCCAGTATATCAGTACTGCTACACAGTGATATGCACCAGGAATGTGTACACATTACCAGAATAGATAGATATGAATCAGAATCATGTACTCTTACGGTTACATATTTGCAGTATTAAATATCTGTCTCTCATTCTCATTATCTGCTGTTTGTCTCCCCATAGCCTCAGCAGGCTGGTCTAATGGCTGCAGTAATAACGTGGGGACGTGTGAGCAGTTGTGTCTGCCTCGTCCCGGTGGCCTGTTCAGCTGCGCCTGTGCGACTGGGTTCAAACTCAGTGCTGATAACAGAACCTGTTCTCCATACCAATCCTACGTGGTGATCTCTATGCTCACTGCCATCAAGGGCTTCAGTCTGGAGGGAGCGGATCACTCTGAGTCTATGGTGCCTGTGGCAGGCAGAGGTGGGGTTCAGTAGGACTGGGTGGTATAGAAAAAAAATACTATTATATAAAACATTATAATATATTTAATTGAGATAATATAATAAATTTATGTGTACAATTTTGATATATATTATAATGATTTTATATTTATTTATTTATATCTATATTATTTCCCAATTGTTTTTTTATATTTTATATTATTTTATTCTCTTTATATGATATTAATTCTTTTGTATTATAAATAATAAATGTTTACTATTTTGTAATAAAGAGAATAAATATTCTTTATCACATTTTTATTATATATTTTTTTATAATTTGTTCTAAATACTATACACACAAACAAACAATATATCTCTTAATATTTAAATACTTATGTATTTCCATTAAAGCCAGTAGATTCAAGACGTTAGAGTAATTAATAAATTAAAATACAGTAAAAAATCTAGCTTCAAAAAAATAAATTAATATCGCCTAAATGTAAACACAAGGTGGAATGATATTTAAAATAGTTTAACATGAAAAATGGCACACAAAGATATTTGTGAGTCTATTTATGAGAAAATTTGAAATAATTTTTCTATTTTTTCTATTATTTTATTCTTTTTATATTATAGTTATTCTTTTGGATTATAAACAATAAAAAGGTTTCATAAAGTGTTATATTTTTATATATATTTTTTATTATTTTGTAATAAAAAAGAATATACATACACACACGCAATTTAATAATAGATTATACATATACACATATATATTCATTGAAGTGGACTGTTTGAACTGACTGAAATGAATTAAATTTACCAACTATAATGTCATTTTTGCTACTGATATTGAAGTCAGAGACACTATTAAACTTTACAGCCAAATAAAAGACACAGTTATTCACAATGTTGCTTTATTGTACATTGCTAGCATAATTTTGCAAATATGTGACCCTGGAACACAAAACCAGTCATAAGGGTACATTTTTTGGACAATAGGACAATATTTGGCTGAGATACAACTATTTGAAAATCTGGAATCTGAGGGTGCAAAAAAATCTAAATATTGAGAAAATAACCTTTAAAGTTGTCCAAATGAAGTTCTTAGCAATGCATAGTACTAATCAAAAATTCAATTTTGATATATTTATGGTAGGAAATTTACAAAAATATCTTCATGGAACATGATCTTTACTTAATATCCTAATGATTTTTGGCATAAAAGAACAATCGATCATTTTAACCCATAAAATATATTGTTTACTATTGCTACAAATATACCCCAGCGACTTATGACTGGTTTTGGGGTCCAGGGTCACATATAATATATGAATAATAATGTGTATGATGATACATGCATATTACAATAAAAAAACTTTGTGCGTGGGTGTTTCTGTGTGTGTCCTGTAGGCCGCAATGCTCTTCATGTAGACGTACACATGCCTTCTGGATTCATTTACTGGTGTGACTTCAGCAGCACCGTGGCGTCTCAGAATGGAATCCGCACGATCAAACCGGACGGATCTGGATTCCGCAGTATTGTCACCTCTGGAATCGGACGTAATGGCATACGGGGCATTGCTGTCGACTGGGCCGCAGGTGAGGGCTTGTTGTATGTTGAAATCAGATTTGGTAACTGGTAATACAGTACAATTGTGACACTGTGTACTTCAGATACACTGGACTCATGGAGTGTTACATGAGGAATGTTCTAGAGCAGCTTTAGAGGTCAGAATGGTGGCAGCCTTACCGTAGGGACATTAACTCACATCAGTATAAGCACAGACAGGTGGCATTGAAGAAGATTAAAGATTAACATATGACAGAAAAGAGGCTCAGATGGTTCAGGCCTCAGTGACCCATGGCTTGTTAAACATACACTTTTGACCTGAATATGTGAATAAGCAACCCAAAGTTGTAATTGGCATTGACCTAATCTGACATTATAGTTGTTTTATTCTCAATGTATACACACTACCATTTAAAAGTCTCTTTTGATCACCGGAACTGCATTAATTTGATCAAAAATACCGTAAAAATGTTACATATTATTTAAATTTTAAATAACTGTTTTCTATTTGAATATATATCAAAATGTAATTTATTCCTGTGATGCAAAGTTGAATTTTCAGCATCATTACTCCAGTCTTCAGTGTCACATGATCCTTCAGAAATCATTCTAATATGCTGATTTTCTGCTCAAGAAACATCTTATCATCAATGTTGAAAACAGTTGTGCTGCTTAAAATATTTGTGGAAACCATGATACATTGTTTTTTTTCCCCAGGATTCTTTGCTGAATAGAAAGTTTAAAAGAACAATATTTATATGAAAAATAAATCTTTTGAAATCATTATAAATGTCTGTACTGGCCAATTTTGATGAATGTAATGCATCATTATGGCATAAAAGTATTAATTTATTCCAAAAAACAAACAAACATACATACAATTTTTAGGATTCTTTGGTGGATAGAAAGTTTTTATTTGAAATATTTATAAATGTCTTTACTGCCCAATTTTGATGAATGTAATGCATTATTACTGCAAAAAAGTACCAATTTCTTTAAAAAACAAAACAAAACAAACAAATATACTGTGTATAACCACAGAATGTTGCAATGGACCAATCAGATTGTAGTATGAAAGTGTTCCATAGTGATTTATATAGTTATTTGTTTATAGATACTATACATTCTACTCAACTATGGCTAAAAGTGGGCTTATATTTTGTATGAAACAACAAATTTGCTTATGTTTTGTTGCACATATGTGACCCTGGTCTTAAGTCGCTGGGGTATATTTGTAGCAATAGCAATGTATGGGTCAAAATTTTATGCCAAAAATCATTAGGATATTAAGTAAAGATCATGTTCCATGAAGATATTTTGTAAATTTCCTACCATAAATATATCAAAACTGAATTTTTGATTAGTAATATGCATTGCTAAGAACTTCATTTGGACAACTTTAAAGGCTATTTTCTCAGTACTTAGATTTTTTTGCACCCTCAGATTCAGTCAAGTATTGTCCTATTCTAACAAACCATACATAAATGGAAAGCTTATTTATTCAGCTTTCAGATGATATATAAATCTCAATTTCGAGAAATTGACCCTTATGACTGATTTTGTGGTCCAGGGTCACATATTGTTCTTTTTTTTTGTTACTCTATAACACCGTTTATAACGGACTAACTTGACATGCCATTTTTAAAATGCAGCTCTGATGCACTCACTTTCACTAATGGTACAAGAGGCTGAAAAAGCATAGATATCCATCTAGTGCATGTGTACATAGACAAACAAAGTGTTTGGTCCTTTAATCTCTCAAAGCAACATTAAGCGTCAGGGTTTCTCACATTTTCTGCATGTTTCTTGTCTTTGTCTTTCTACAGGAAACCTCTATTTCACCAATGCCTTCTTGACCGAGACGTACATTGAAGTGATTCGACTCAATACCACGTTCCGTCGTGTCCTTCTAAAGACCCAAGTAGACATGCCTCGTCATATTGCGGTGGACCCCATGAACAGATACCTCTTCTGGGCCGACTACGGACAGACCCCCAAAATCGAGCGAGCTTTTCTAGACGGTTCCAACCGGACCGTGCTGGTTTCCTCAGGCATCGTCACCCCCAGAGGCCTGGCTTTGGACCACCGAGATGGATACATTTACTGGGTGGATGATTCCCTGGACATGATCGCACGAGTCCGGCCCGACGGGGGTGAGACGGAGGTCGTACGGTACGGGAGTCGCTATCCGACTCCATACGGCGTAACCGTGTTTGAGGGGAATGTAATCTGGGTGGACAGAAACCTGAAGAAAGTCTTCCAAGCGAGCAAACAGCCAGGTGCGACCGACCAGCCGCTCGTGATCCGAGACAACATCAACATGCTGCGGGACGTTACCATCTTCGACCGGAGAATGCAGCCAAGTTCGGCCCACGAGCTCAATAACAACCCCTGCTTGGAGTCTAACGGCGGCTGTGCTCACTTCTGCTTCGCCATCCGAGGATTTCAGACGAGGAAGTGTTCGTGTGCCTATGGGAATCTAGCTGTGGATAGCAGCAGTTGTGTGGTATCCCGGGATGACTACCTTATCTATACGACAGAGAGCACTGTACGATCTCTGCGGCTGGATCCAGAGGATCATTCGCTGCCCTTTCCCGTGGTTAACCTGCCCCGGACTTCGGTAGCCCTTGATTTCGACCGGTTGGATGGCAGGATCTATTTCACGCAGAGCTCGGGAGCGGGCCAGAGCAAGATTAGCTTCATTACTTTGGCTTCGCCTACCTCTTCTGTGACAGAGGTGGCCTCAGGTGAGCAGCTTATTTAAACTCCTGATGCACCCTGACACTGCAGGTTTAGCTAGAAAGGGAAAGTTTGTTAAGGCAGTCTTTGAATGTTGGCTTGACGAAGTATCTCGTGTGACATTTACAGTGGTTATTCAGGATCATGTCTACTGTCTGAGAGTCACAGTAAAATGTGTGCAGAAATGTACAAAAGCTGGTTGATTATAATATAATATAATAAACCAAATGCAACCTGAAGATTGTTCTGTAACATGCTACGTGATTTTTCTTTTGGTATTTTAAAGCAATATTATGTATTTGAAAAGATGGGCTGCATAAGTATCTTCAGCAAGCACACAACACTGCCTGAGTGATACACACAATGATAAATACAGTATAACAACCAAATATAATGATAAAAACTGTTGATAAGCACATTGAATTAGAAAGTTAGCACAAATTTGATTTAAAGGGACAGTTTTTTTACTCGACCTCATGTTGTTCCAAACCTTTGCTCCTTATAAAGTTTTATAACTTTTTTTCTGAACTGTGGAGATCTGGGAGCTCCTGATGGCATTGCCTACGACTGGATCAATAAGAGGATCTATTACAGTGACTACATTAACCAGAGCATCAGCTCCATGGCAGTGGATGGGTCTCAGAGGACTGTTGTAGCACAGGTGCCCAGACCCAGAGCCATCATGCTGGATCCATGTAGAGGGTGAGTCTCCCATTCAGTTAGACTGTGGTTTAGATGTATAATGAGCCATTTTATAATCTAATTTAAATGCATTTCTCTGTATATGCGGTCAGGTATATGTACTGGACCGACTGGGGAACCAATGCAAAGATAGAGCGTGCAACTCTGGGAGGAAACTTCAGGACCGAGATCGTCAACACTAGTCTGGTTTGGCCAAATGGTCTGACACTGGACTATGACGATCAAAGGCTGTACTGGGCAGATGCCAGCTTGTAAGATCTCATCTTTTAATTATATTCATAATATTTATAGTTAATTTAATTTAATAATATACCTATAATAATACAAATAATAATAATGTAATAATACATTAAATTATTTGATAATTTATAATTCATTAAATATATGTATTATATAATACATTTATACTATATATATATATATATATATATATATATATACATACATCATTTTATTTAATAATATTTATAATTAATTATTAATAATAAAATATAATAATAATTTTAATATACTGTGTATATATATTTTTTTTAATTTAACAATATACATTTAATAATAAAAATGATTTAATAATAAATTATATTTTCAATAATTTATTAAAAATATATTATATATGTATTATGTAATACTTACATATATAATTGTAGCTGTTATATATATATATATATATATATATACAGTGCCGTAGCCATTTCTAAGGCTTTGGGACTCCAGCGAACCATGGTCAGAGCCATTATCCACAAATGCAGAAAATTGGAACAGTGGTGAACCTTCCCGAGTGGCCGACCAACCAAAATTACTCCAAGAGCACAACTACGACTCATCCAGGAGGTCATAAAAGAACCCAGAACAACATCTAAAGAACTGCAGGCCTCACTTGCCTCAATTAAGGTCATAGGGCTGCAAAACGATTAATCATGATTAATCACATTCAAAATAAAAGTTTGTTTACATACTGTATGTGTGTGTACTGTGTATATGTATTATGTATATATAAATACACACACATGCATGTATATATTAAGGAAAAATGTTAGATTTATATATCAAATATATTTATATATAATATAAATGATATACAAGTATAAATATATACATACAAAAATATTTTTTTAAATATATACATATATGTGTGTATTTATATACATACTATATGTGTGTGTACTGTGTATATTTATTATGTTAACATAAACTTATTTTAATGGGATTAATCACAATTAATCGTTTTTGCCGCCCTAGTTTATTTAGAACTTTGAGAGAACTTTTCCAGAAAGTTCTGAGAATGTCCCCTGTTAGCTGGGTACATGCACTAATCCATCAAAGCAGTTCATTTTGATTATAAGTATAATTATAATCCATTCAATACCAAATAACATTGATAAAAAGTCTAATTTAAGGACTAGACTATTGAATTGTTAGCTTTGCATACTAATGGAAAATTCTATTGAAATCAATTGTGTCAGTAGACACCAAGGCAGATTACTAGGATTTAGAACAGAGCATTAGACTACATACAATTTAATAACCATCCATAAACACATACTAACCTCTTCCACAATGCACCCCCCTCTCTCGCATGCAGTCCCACAAGCAGCAGCATTCATTTCACTCTCAGGTAAACTGAAATAGATAGGTAGAGGAGGTAGGCAGTGAGCTCCAGTAGTTCCTGTTAGTTCATTCAGCTCTTACTGCAAATGTCAAAATTAATCTTTTTTTTTTTTGTGCATGGCAGCATTTCACACCTGCGAGCCCACTGTGTTCACATGTGGAAATGGCCGTTGTGTGCCATACCACTACCGCTGCGATCACTATAATGACTGCGGGGATAACAGTGACGAGACCGGCTGCATATTCCGCCCCTGCGACCCCAACACTGAGTTCACCTGCAATAACGCTCGCTGCATTGCACGGGAATACGTCTGCAACGGAATAAACAATTGCTACGACAATGGGACCTCGGATGAGCAGAACTGCGGTAAGTGCATTTGCACGGTTACCAAAACAAGTTGCTAGGTTGTTTGTCAACTACTGTATAAACAGCCTACAGCTTATGAGCATTTATATAATACAGAATAGTTGATTTTAAGCGATCCCTAATGGATCCTTGTTATAAAACGCAGCTGAGAGGACATGTCAGCCAGAGCACACCAAATGCCAGACCACCAACATCTGCATCCCGCGCTCGTACCTGTGTGATGGAGATAATGATTGTGGTGACAACAGTGACGAGAGCCCAACGCATTGTGGTGAGTTATCCTGTCCCACTGTCTCCCTCTGTCCTGTGGGAACATAGTTAGGTTTATAAATGCCATGATATTTGTTATGCTTAATGTCTTTTAGTTTGCCACGCATATCTAATGTCATGTAAAATTGAAAACTTTATTATTATTGTATTAAATGCAATAATAATAAAAAAATTATTATTATTATTATTATTAATGATATAATTATGAAAAAGTAAGTTCTATTTTAGTTATTAGCATTAACTAAAACAAAAAACTAAACCTACTAAAAAACATTTATGTTAATTGAAAATAAAATACTTTTAATAAAAAAATAAATAAGGTTTATTTTACTTTCATCACCAAAGTCAAAACAAAAGTTTTGGCTCAAGGCCTTCTTTATTGTGCATTGCATTGCATTGAATAGAATAGAATAGAATAGAATAGAATAAAATAAAATAAAATAATGATGAAAACTTAAACTAAATAAAAATTTGAAATGTTATCTTGGCAACTAACTGAAATAGGTTGAAGTACTAAAATAACTAGCTGGAAACTAATAAAAATTAAACCTAGATCTACTGTAAATCTGGAATTAAAATAAATTACACAAAAAAAAGTATCATTTAAAAAAAGTGACAAAAGCACATAACTAAATTACTTAAATTATTGATGAATTCTTTATGAAATTATTGGTCAATAATTTAGATTATTTGATCAATAATTTTGAATAATTATTGATCAATATATTAAAACAACTGTAAAGGTTTTTAAATAATATTAAATCATACTGACATAAAAGGCAGAAGAAAAACATAAAATAAATGTAAGAATGACAAAATGTGTAATAATAATATTTTCATTGTTTGTTTCTCCTTTAGTGTGGAATTAGATGAGTAACTGTTTAATAATTTCCTGTTGCTTTTTGTGCCAAAGTTGTTGCTCAACTTGCCCTTCCTGTAATATCAGTGAAATTAGTGACCCATGTATGTGAGCGGGTCCACCTGGGGATGCTGAGTTAATTTCTAGTTTATCTCTGGTTTGTCTTGTGTTGTTTTCTCCTCAGCCACATCTACTTGTTCCCAGAACGAGTTTCGCTGCTCGAGCGGACGCTGTATTCCCGGACACTGGTACTGTGATGGCGGTACAGACTGCAACGATGGTTCTGATGAGCCCGTTACCTGTAGTAAGTACCACACATAACATATTAAAAATAAATATATACCACTATAAGTTATCTGGCGCTCATTCTGTATATGTGGCAGAAAGTTATTTTGGACTATACTGGGGAGAAAACTATGAAAACACTGTAATATGAGGATGAAGCTGTGTTTATCAAGGGAAACCGTTGCCCATGTTTTTGGGTGGTGAGTTAATGATGGGTATCCTGCCTCACTGGTTACCATGGTGATGGACTGAATGTCTGTCACAGCCCCCCCCCCCCTCATTTTACGCTCCGCTGGTGATGCATGCAGTCAAAAACTGGAAAGATGAGGCAGACGTTGTGTATAAGTAAGCGGTCAGTCCGGCCATCTATTGTGTGTCACATTCCTCCAAAGTGACGTGCAGCAGAAAAGCCCTCATACACACACATACACACACACACCGGCCCTTCCTTTGACAGTCTCTGCCCCCTCCCCTCTCACACACACTGCCCCATCCTCTCGCTTTTGTCCCGTTAATCACAGCACCCCTTTGGTGCCTTTTGTTCAAGCGGGACACTAGAGAGAGGAATGCTTATTCTCTCCCAGAATTCCTCTGCCTGTGGAATCCAAGCAGCAGCTCAGCCACGTTTCTGGCTGCTCAGGATGGGATTTAATGATTAAATGAATTACATAGGCCGCATGTTCCTCAGTTTCCTCTGAGATCCGAGTGAGACATGGCCCTCGGGCAGGTGGCTCTTCTCACTGCCGTGTATTTCATCCTTGCAGCCACCACGGTGAGGACCTGCAACTCCGACCAGTTCCGCTGCGATGATGGAAGGTGCATCGCCTCGTCCTGGATCTGCGATGGAGACAACGACTGCGGGGACATGAGCGACGAGGACGAGAGACACAACTGTGGTCAGTATTGCTTGGTCCAAACCCAAATCACAGGTCTCATTTCACAATGTACTTTTGGAACATGTTACTGAAATATTTGTCCCTTTGGATTTACCACCAAAAGTTTACGCACAGAACAGCTGCAAAAGTGATAGATTTAGCTTTTTATGACTGATACAGATTTACTTAATTGTAGTTTCCAAAACCCAATATGCAGAAAAAAATGGCAATGTATTTAAATTTTTGGTTTACCATTTTTATATCATGTTTATTTATAAATCCCTCACCATATTTCCAAATGCACCACATCATTCATTCATTTATTCAGATATTACTGTTTAGGTTTAATTTTTATTTTTTATTTCTGCTTTAGTTTTTATTTATTTGCAGTTAGTAATTTTATTGCTTGAACTTAAATTTATTTATTTGTGAATGCAATATTTCTAATTTTCATTTAGTTTTTCATCTAGTATTTTATTTGATTTCAGACTGATTTCTGTTAACAAAAATATTTTAATAGTTGTAGTTTTACAGTAATAACTCTATTCTGACATCTACTGGACTTTGGTCATAACCAAATGTTCTTTTGTAAAAGTGCTTACACAACTTTATTGTTTCATCCTCGACTTTTTGGCTATATTTAGTCTTCTTGTATCATCTCTCTTCTCTAGTCCTTCCTCTCTGCACCTCTTCTCCTCCTCTCCCTCAGTTCATCAGTGAGGTAGTGTTGGTGGTTGGGTGTGGGATCTCAGTGTAAGGAGTCTACATTCCTAATTTCTCCTGCCTCGCTCACTGCTTTGTGGATGTGTTTAGCTGACAGCTCTCAGACTCTCTCTGTTCTCTCCAGAGGTTGCTCTTACATAGCTGATCAGTAACTTAATGGAGAACTCAGTTGAGCTGTCAGGTTTGTCTAAAAAATGTCCATGGGAGAAGTAAAAACAGACACAAATGAGATAACTGTTGACATACACTTGGAGGATAGAGCTGTAAGCAGAATGTGGATAGCATAGTTTAGATAATGTGAAAGAATTTAATGAAAAGTTTGAGTTCGTATTGAGATTTGGGTTTTGTTTTCACTAAACCTTGATGTTAACATGTTGTTTGACAACATGTTGCATAAAAATGCATAGTTTTCACAAATAATTGGTAAAATCGTCCATTTTTATTCAGTCTGTGCTCATTTGTACTTTTTATTATTGTTTAAAACATTTTTTTATATTAATATATTTATATTATACTTTTTTTTATAAAAATGTAAATTAAAACTCTAAAACATCAATAGTGCAAAATCAGCACATCCACTCACACACACACACCTATGAACTGGTGTGACTGTAACACAGCAAATATGTCAAATAAAAGCAATAATTCAACTACAATGCAGTAAAAAAGTGGACAGCAAGGAAGACGTTACACTCTAAAACATCAAGAGTGCAAAACAGACACATCCACTCACACTCACACACACACATATACACACAGACATACACAATTATACACACTCAAATGAATTGGTATGGCTATAACCATATAGCCAAAACGAGTCAGAAAACTGAAATAAGAAGTTGAAATCAAATCAGACCCAGAAGAATTAAAGGGTTATTTCACCCAAAAATGAAAATTGGCTTGTGTTTTACTCACCCTCGAAGCATCCTAGGTGTATATGACTTTCTTCTTTCAGACGAATCCAGATGGAGTTATATAAAAAATTGTCCTGGCTATTCCAAGCTCTATCATTGCAGTCAGTGGGTGTTGCAGTTGAACAGTCCACAAGTCGTCAAATAAAGCGCGTGCATCCATAATAAAACGTGCCTCACACGGCTGCGGGGCATGAATAAAGGCCTTCTGTAGTGAATCCATGCGTTTTTGTAAGAAAAATATCCATATTTCAAACGTAATAAACACTTTTCTCTCACTTCCGGTATCTGTCATATGCGGAATGACGTAGGACGTATGCGTCGCGCGCGCCTCTGAGATATGCTAGTCTCGCGAGTTTGTTTATAGGAGCAAAGGAAGCAAAGTTTCCTTACTTTAGCAAAGGAAAACCAGTCTCCTTTTGGTTTATATCGAAATCCTCCGACATTGTTCTTTGCAAATCTTCGGTTTGTACTTCTAATTTGTGACCGGCGTTTTGTTTTGTTGTCTCTCCGCATTCGTCACTAATCATGCAACACCGACGTCCTACGTCATCCGCCGCAATGGCTTCCGCGTATGACAGTCAGCGGAAGTGATATAAAAGTGTTTATTACGTTTGAAATATGGATATTTTTCTTACAAAAACGCATGGATTCACTACAGAAGGCCTTTATTCATGACCCGGAGCTGTGTGAAGCACGTTTTATTATAAATGCGCAAGCTTTATTTGATGACTTGTGGACTGTTCAACTGCAACACCCACTGACTGCAATGATAGAGCTTGGAATAGCCGCGACAATTTTTTATATAACTTCAACTGGATTCATCTGAAAGAAAAAGTCATATACGCCTTGGATGCTTCAAGGGTGAGTAAAACACAAGCCGATTTTCATTTTTGGGTGAACTAACCCTTTAAGCTCTGATAAAACATTCCTGTTCGTTTTTGTTATTTTTTTATAGTATTTTAATGGTTTGTGTAACAAAATGCTTTCTCTGTGTTCAGGTTTGACTGTAGTAATAATAATGCAAAAACTGACGCATCAAATCAACATTTCAAACCAAAAAAAAACCTAAACCTTTACAAAAAGTTGTCTTTGAGAATGGCTAAATATATATATATATATATATATATATATATATATATATATATATATAAACTTAATAAAAATAAGTATTTATGTCTAAAATCAACTAGGGAAGTCAAATTTCAGGTGTCCGGTCAGTTTTGACCATGAAGACCATAAGTGTGACTCCGAAATAAGGAGCACCAGAGGGTTAAGTCAGTATGTATTATTTTATTAAATTATGAACAGAATTATGTAATATAGTCTACATGAAAAATATTATTTTAATATAGTCTATTATTTAGTGAATTTAATATTATGAAAATAATTTGTCAAACAATTCATATTTAATATTTTTTTAAATAATAAAATGATTAATTATTTGATATTGTCTACATAGTAGTATAATTATATAATATAGTGAGACTGTATAAAATAAGTCTCAGTCTCACTTCATAAGACATCTTGGAGGAACTTTTTCAGTGAACTTGTCGCAGTCCATTATTCTGTTCTTTTCTACATGAAGGATGCATTCGAATCTGGTCAAAACAAGGTATCTTATGAGACAGCAGCAAATCCACTTCTGTTTGGATGCCTTAAAGTGCTGTCTAGGTAGGCGGCTTACAGGGTTTTGCAACAGAACCTTAATGGAATTCACAGTCACACAGTTTGTGCACAAATATATTATGTTGGGTTGAACATAAATGTTGTGCCAAAAAGTGTCGTTTTTAAATTCTGTGCTCTTGTTTTGTCTCACACACACAGCAAACCGTACCTGTTCTCCTCAGGAGTTCACCTGTATAAATAACAGGCCTCCTCAGAGGAAGTGTATCCCATGGGACTGGGTGTGTGACGGAGATGCAGATTGTTCGGACGCATACGATGAGCACCAGAACTGCACTCGCAGATCCTGCTCTGCCAACGAATTCACCTGCAACAACGGCCTCTGCATCCGCAACTCCTACAGGTTAGAATTATATTTAGAGCAAAAAAATTTGCAGATGCATTGTTTTTTATGGCTGATTTTTACAACTGATATGCAGCACTATTTTTAAATATTGTCTTATTTTTTTACATTATAATAAAATGCAAAGACATAAACATTGTGAATTATTTTTATTGTTATTAATAACATTATTTAATTTATTATTATTATTATTATTATAAATCTAGAAAATGCATTGTATAATTTCAATAGTAATTTTTTAAATAGTAAAAAATATATATTTTAATAATGTTGAAATTGCATAATAGTAATAATAATAATAAATGTATTATATTATTTGTGCATTGTATATATTGTATAATGCATTGTATTAAATATATTTAATTTTATTTAGTTTTATTTAGTTTTTAATGAAAGAGGGGGGAATTCGATGATGATGATAATAATAATAATGCATTATATTGTATAATAATAATAATGTATCATATTGTTTTATATAATGTATTATATTGTATTATTTTAATTGTAATACTTTTAATTTATTTGTAATTATTTTTTTATCATTTTAAGTTATTTATTAATTGAGTATTTCCATTTTTATTTATGAAAGACAGCACCACTTTTTAAATGTTCATAACTTTATAAATAAAATTATAAAAACTTTGTTTTGGTGATTGATTCCAGTGAAAAAAAGCAATTTCTCCCATAATTCCCTGCTGTGTGTGTTGTGTCTGTAAGGTGTGACCGTCGTAATGATTGTGCAGACAGCAGTGATGAGCAAGGCTGCACCTATCAGCCGTGCCAACAGCATCAGTTCACCTGTCAGAACGGCCGCTGCGTCTCGCAGGATTTCGTCTGTGACGGGGACAACGACTGCGGGGATGAATCTGACGAGCTGGATCACCTGTGCAGGACCCCAGCACCCACCTGCCCTCCCGGAAACTTCCGGTGTGACAACGGAAACTGCATACCACTCAGCGAGGTGTGTGACCGGAACGATGACTGCAACGACAACAGTGATGAGAAAGGCTGTGGTAAGCACTGCATCATGTGACAACTTGTGATTAGATTTTTTGTCTAGGGGATCTTGATATGCAGTGGTCTGTATCTGTACTTTGGTGCTGTACTTGTGTTTTTCAAATATTCTTGGACGTAATTTTGCTATACATGTATATTTGTGTCTCATTTTTATGTGTTAACATGCAATGCATGCAAATAATGGCAAAATACCCTCTTTACAAGTAATTTTTAACAAAAGTAAAATCATTTGCATCATTACATGGTGGAATCTAATCATCTTTTAAGCTCAGTGACTCAACACAAGTCAAACACTCATCATCACTCGTCATCACTGTCATTTATAGAAATGTAAATGTGAACACTAGTAGAGGACATCAGGCCATCTGTAAAAGCATGTAAGATTATGTCTATAAAGTGTGAGCAAAGGTGTTTTATCGTGAAATTATTGCATATTTTTTTCTTTCGTGCAAGTGATTTGAGTGATAAATCAGGGTTATTATAGTTAGCAAAAAAACAAAAAAAAACACATAAATAAAACAAAAGTTACAAATTAAATAAACTTAATATAAATTAAATATAAAATGAAAATATTTATATATATATATATATATATATATATATATATATATAAAACAACTGATATTAAACTAATAATTTTTCATAGTTAACATTTTAACAAATGTAGTTCCATTTTAAGGAAAAAACTTAATAGGTTAGTCAATTTGTGTTAAAATATGCCAGTGTTATTTTACTATCATTGAGATACTATTATAGTTTTTATAAATATTTCGAATTTTTGAAATTTTTTATATTCATATTTTCAGGTTTTTTTTTTTTTTTTTAATGGGAGCTCAGGATGAACAGAAAATCTAAATTATTTGTCTGTTTTATTGTCTCAGGCATCAATGAGTGCACAGACCCATCCATGCACCACTGCGACCACAACTGCACCGACACTCCCACCAGCTTCATCTGCACCTGTCGCCACGGTTACCACCTCATGTCCGACAACAAAACGTGCGACGATGTGGACGAGTGCTCGGTCACGCCCAGCGTGTGCAGCCAGGTGTGCGAGAACACCATGGGCTCGTATGTGTGCAAGTGTGCTCCAGGCTTCCTCCGCGAACCCGACGGACGCAGCTGCAGGCAGAACAGCAACATCAGCCCCTACCTGATCTTCAGCAACCGCTACTATCTGCGCAATTTGTCGTCGGACGGCGAGGCCTACTCGCTCATTCTGCAGGGCCTCACCAGCGTGGTGGCGCTGGACTTCGATCGGGTGGACAGACGCTTGTACTGGATCGACGTGAGCCGGAGGGTGTTGGAGCGGATGTTCTTTAACGGGACGGGACGAGAGGTGGTGGTCAATGGGATTTCGCATGGCGAGGGCCTGGCGGTGGACTGGGTTGGGAGGAAGCTGTACTGGGTCGACAGCTTTCTCGACTGCATGAAGGTGTCGGAGCTGGACGGCCGGTTTGTGAGGAAGTTAGCAGAACACTGTGTGGATGCTAATAACACATACTGCTTCGAGAATCCCAGAGCCATCGTTCTGCATCCAAAGTTTGGGTGAGTTTACCAGCGATGCAAGTCATTTTCAGATCTGTAAAGCCCGAAACACACTGCACGATTTTAGACTGTTCCAGACGAAAGATTGGCATCGTGAAACAATCGGGGTGATTTCTGTGATTGTGGATCCTAATCGGCGATCCTGTGTCGTACAGTGAGAGAGGTTCAAAGACGGCCGTTGTCACGGTCAAAGATAGCCCACGATATAGCATGATCTCCGCACAGTGTGTTTGCTGCTACGGTCCACGTTTACTGACCAACCAATAAAAATGCAACATGGCGCTAAAACATAAAACTGCTTACCTCAAGCTATTATGCCTTCCTCTTTCGCCGCTTTCACTTTTTTCAGCACACATAAAAACTAGGGCTGTGACGATAAATTGATGCAGAATCGATTCTGAGATCTTCCGAATGCATCGCGATTCTCTCTGGAATCGATTCTGAGCTTAAATTTTAACAGTAGATGGCGCTCTACTCTAGTTTTTATCCGCACACTCAAATGCTCATGAAAAAGAGCGCTTGTGCGTTCGGCTGATTCTGCAATTTCACCTCGGCTCAGAATGCTTTTATGACCCCAGCTTAATGTTAACACAGCCCACTGTGAACACCCTTGTAATTCGCTTCAACCTTTTCGAATTTTATGAATGATTATTTTAGGTTCAAGTGTGTGTAAGGATTTGGAAACGAGCAGAGTACGGCTGTTTCTAAAGCATGCAGCGCCATCTGCTGTTCAAAACTAAACTCAGAATCGACTCGAGAAAGATTCGGAAAATCTCGGAATCGATGCGGAATCATTTCTCGATTCACGATGCATCTATTTATTTTCCCAGCCCTAATAAAAACGAAAGCTGCTTAAGTGTGATTTATCATGCACTTTTTGTTTGCCAGTAGCGCATGCTGATGACGTTTTATTCTTCTATAGTATTGTGCGTTGTAGCTTACGAGTCAATAGGTGTCATCATCCTACAGTCTATACGCATGTCGTTATTAGATTCATATCGCACAGTGTGACATGCAATGCTCTTATAGGATTGCTAAAATCACGCAGTGTGTCTTGGGCTTAAGTTGGTGGTCATGTGCATATTGCACAATCTTGAGTAGTGACAACTGCACAAACTCTCAGAAAAAGGTACAAAAGCTGTCTCTGGGGGTTTACCTTTTGAAAAAGTTCATCTTTGTACCTTATTTACCCCTAAAGTGTACATGTACAGTAAGTACATTAAAGGTGCATATTAATACCTAAATGGTAAATTTTTGTGCCTTTTAAAAGGTATTGCCCCAGTGACCGCTTTTCTGCCGTTTTTATCTAAATTTGTAGTTTCCAACTGGTATTTAGTGTTCTGATCGTGAAAGAAACAATGGTAAATGCAAACAATGAACTATAACAACTATAAAACCATGTGTAGATGGGATAGCAAAATGAATTCACTTAAATGCTTTTAAAAAGGAGAACAAATATTTGTTGACATCAAAGGCCTCACATTCCAGTCAAATTTTGTAGACTTTGGATGCAAATTAATTTGTCAGTTGGTAGAAGTGGGAAATTAGACATATGACAAAATGGACAGGTTGTGTGACATCCTCATCCTCAAAATCTTAAATAAAACTGCACAAATTACTACTACTACTACTAATAATAAAAATAAAATATGTAAAAAATATTTTAATAAATATTTTAATAATAATATATTACTTTGTATTTTAATAAATTATATATATATATATATATAATTAATATATTATAATTTTAATAGAATATACATGTATGCATTTATAATATAATAATTATCTATTAAATTATTATTATAATTTTTTTTTAGGTTTATTTAGGTTATAGCTGATATTGTAAATCTATAATACTTACAAAAAAGTTAATTTAGATGTTTTGTGTGCACACTACATTTAAAATTACTTTGAACTTTTCAAATAAATGCGGTTCTTTTGAACTTTCTGTTCAGCAAAGTGTTCTACAAAAATATGAAGCAGCACAACCGTTTTCAACATGGCTAACAATAAGAAATGTATCTTGAGCAGCATATTAGAATGATTTCTGAAGGATCATGTGACACTGAAGACTGGAGTAATGATGCTGAAAATTCAGCTTTGCATCACAGGAATAAATTACATTTTACAATATATCCAAATATTTTAAATTATAATAATATTTGACAATATAATTTTTTTCACTGCATTTTTTGGTCAAATAATTGCAGCCCTGGTGAGCAGAAGAGCCTGTAAAACAGTATAAGCTCTTACCGACCCCAAACTTTTAAACAGTAGTGTACAGTATGTGGCCGTTACATTGCTGGAATCTGTTTTAGCTTCTATTTTTTAATATCAGATGTCATCTTTGTGCAGATATGTCTACTGGACTGACTGGGGAGACAAAGCCTTCATTGGACGTGTCGGGATGGATGGGAATAACAAGTCGGCCATCATCATTACTAAGATCGAGTGGCCCAACGGTCTCACTATTGACTACACCAATGACAAGCTGTACTGGTCTGATGCTCACCTCAACTACATCGAGTAAGACTACCTCACCTTTATATCCTGTCATCCAGAGCACAAGATTTAATTACTGCTAATTTATCTAATTAAATATGATATGTCATAAATTATTATGAATTGAATTAATCACAAACGATCAATATTTGCTGACAAATCCCGCAAATTAAGATTTGGTTGTTGCATCGCAAGCTGGTTTCAACCATCTTTTTTCCTCCATTTTTAAAAATTCTGTGTCAAGGAAATGATAAATCATGCAGGTTTTTCTATTTCAATTTGATGTTTTATAATTTCAAACATTAAAAAAAAAATCCTATGTTTGATTTTAAGGACATATTTACTTTTGTACAAATAATAGAGAATAACGGTAAGATATTATAAATCAATATTTATTATAATTGCAAACAATGAATGCATTTAAAACACTGAATGTTTCTTTAAAATTCAAACACTGAGATGTAGCCATTGCTTTAAATGAAAATAAATATTTATACTGTTTTCTTAGTTATGATTATAGATTTAGTTAATTACTTTTTATTTGCATTTTTAGCATTTGTTTATTTATTTTTAAACTTTTTGTATGATTAATAAGAAACAATTATTAGAAAAACTAATATTTATTTTAATTTCAAACATTGAACAACTTCTTTGATTTTACTTTTCACATGAATAATAGAGAATACTCTTAAGAATATTATAAATTCATATTATTTTTAATTGCAAACACTGAGTGAATTTCACACATTAAATACATCCTTAAAATCAAGCACTGAAATGTGTTCAGTTTGAAATTAAATTAAATATTCAGAATATTCTTACAGTCATTGTCTATCAGTTTTTTGCTGTTTATATGGTTAGCATTTCATTATTTGCATTTGTTATAAATATTTATACTGTTTTCTTAGTTATGATTATAGATTTAGTTAATTACTTTTTATTTGCATTTTTAGCATTTGTTTATTTATTTTTAAACTTTTTGTATGATTAATAAGAAACAATTATTAGAAAAACTAATATTTATTTTAATTTCAAACATTGAACAACTTCTTTGATTTTACTTTTCACATGAATAATAGAGAATACTCTTAAGAATATTATAAATTCATATTATTTTTAATTGCAAACACTGAGTGAATTTCACACATTAAATACATCCTTAAAATCAAGCACTGAAATGTGTTCAGTGTTTGAAATTAAATTAAATATTCAGAATATTCTTACAGTCATTGTCTATCAGTTTTTTGCTGTTTATATGGTTAGCATGTCATTATTTGCATTTGTTACCCTGGAGCACAAAACCAGTCTTAAGTCGCTGGGGTATATTTGTAGCAATAGCCAAAAATATATTGTATGGTTCAAAATTATAGATTTTTATTTTATGCCAAAAATCATTAGGATATTAAATAAAGATCATGTTCCATGAAGATATCTTGTAAATTTCCTACCATAAATATATCAAAACTTAATTTTTGATTAGTAATATGCATTGCCAAGAACTTCATTTGGACAACTTTAAAGGCAATTTTTTCGATATTTAGATTTATTTTTTTTTTGCACCCTCAGATTCCAGATTTTCTAATTATTGTTTCTCGGCCAGATATTGTCCTATCCTAACAAACCGTGCATCAATGGAGAGCTTATTTATTCAGCTTTCAGATGATGAAAATGGACCCTTATGACCACCCTTTTGTGGTCCATGGTCACATTTATCCTTCTCTACATTTAAATATGATATGTCAATAAATATATCAATTTGATTAAATGAATCACATTTATCATTATATGCTGACAAATCCCAAGATATTGTCCTATCCTAACAAACCGTGCATCAATGGAGAGCTTATTTATTCAGCTTTCAGATGATGAAAATGGACCCTTATGACTGGTTTTGTGGTCCATGGTCACATTTATCCTTCTCTACATTTAAATATGATATGTCAATAAATGTATCAATTTGATTAAATGAATCACATTTATCATTATATCAAATGAAGATTTGGTCGTGCATCATTCAAACGGTTTTTCAACAGTGCTTTTACCATTTTTAAGATGCTGTGTCTTGACTAATTATGCATTATTTTTTGCACAAAATGAACATGTTAAACATTATTAAGATGGTTCTGTCTCCTCAGATTCTCTGACCTGGACGGGAATCACAGGCACACTGTGTACGACGGCGTCCTGCCGCATCCTTTCGCCATCACGGTGTTCGAGGAAAGCGTGTACTGGACGGACTGGAACACGCGCACGGTGGAGAAGGGCAACAAATACAACGGCTCTGGACGGGAAGCGCTCGTCAACACCACCCACCGACCGTTCGACATCCACGTGTGCCATCCCTACCGCCAGCCCATAGGTGAGCCCAGGACAGCGTAACCCGAGCGGTGCGCTCATTATCTCTCGTCAGATCGCTATCACTTCCTTTAAACGTCCACTGAGGCACTTAAGGGTCTCTGCCAATATTTACACAGTCTGTCCTTTCTCGGACACAGGAAAGACTAAACTCTTTATCGTTGCTGTAATGGCCAGGACAGGTAGTTGAAACTCTTTATCTGTGGCTTTCTTTAGAAAGAGGAGCTACAGCTACATGTTGTGGAGCCACATCCTGGTTCTTTGTAAGAGGATATAGTCTGACTCAGTGGTTTTCAACTGACTACACAATTTACTCTGAGCAACAAGAACGACTCAATTCAATACCGCACGTTTATCGTATCAAAGTTAATAAAGCTGTCCTAAATGTAATGTATGAATTTTATTCAATTTTTTTAAATCAAATAAATATGAATTTATCATTTTCTTAATATTTTTCTCTATTATTTGCAAAAACGTTAAATGGTCTGAGATTTTAACATTGAAATTAAAAACTACATCTGTATGACGTTAGAATACATATTCATTTATAATATTCTTGCACTTATTCCTGTGATTATATGCTTACTTATTTTTTGCATTTATTTTTGTATTTATGCATTTATTTATTTATTTATTATTCTTATAATGTTTTTGATTATAAGAACAATTTACTAAAGATTGCACCTATTATTCATTCAGAAGTGTTGAAATCGGAATTTATAATAGAATAATTGTTATTATTATTTTAATTTCAAAGATTAAATACATTTGAAACATTAAATAAAAAGCGTTTGATTTTAAGGGCGTTTTATTTACTTTTGTACAAATAATAGAGAATAATCATAAGATTATAAAAAATATTAAATAATATTTATTTTAATTGCTAACTCTGGATGCATCCCAAACATTGAACTTTTCCTTCAAACACTGAAATATTTCCAATGTTTAAAATTGAAATTAATATTAGGTTATTCTTTTTTATTATTTTCTGTTAATATCCTAAAAAAAACAGTGGAATTTAATGTGCGAAATTTAAATAAATATGAATTTATAATATTCTTAGAATTATTATTATTATGATGTTTACTTATTTATTATTTTAGCGTTTATTTATTATTCTTATGTTTTATACTTATAATACTAATAATAGGCAATAATTGAAAAAAAACAACAATACATTTTCAAGTTAGATTTTAGAGACTTTTTAATTTACTTTTAAATTGACCTTATTTTCAATTTATTTTTATAGGAGTAATATAGAACAATCTTACAATTACATATAAATATACATTGACTTTTTTATTGCAAACAATAAACGAATTCCCTAGAAATGTATTCAGTGTTTGAATTAAAATAAATAATATTCAAAATATTCTTAATCATCTATTACTTTTTAAGTTTATAGTTATGATATAGTTGCATTTTATTATTTGCATTTATGTGTCCATAATTGAGGACAGATTCAGAACAGACCTGAAACTTTTTTGTTTGTTTGTTTGTGACTCACTAGCAGAGTCTCACTCACACTATATCTTGCTCCTGTAGTGACGAATCCCTGCGCGGTCAATAACGGAGGCTGTTCTCACCTGTGTCTTCTGCGAGCCGGAGGTCAGGGTTTCACCTGCGAGTGTCCTGATCACTTCCTTACCGTGCAGATAGGGGGCGTCGCACGCTGCCTGCCCATGTGCTCCAGCACACAGTACAGATGTGCAGACAATGAACGGTTAGTGTCTCCATGCACACTCTGTTCCAAAGCCTGCTGCATATTTTTGGGGAAGTCGTGGCCTAATGGTTAGAGAGTCGGACTCGTAACCCAAAGGTTACAAAGCCTTGAGCAAGGCACCGAACCCCCAACTGCTCCCCGGGCGCCGCAGCATAAATGGCTGCCCTCTGCTCCAGGTGTGTGTTCACTGCTGTGTTTGTGCACTTAGGATGGGTTAAATGCAGAGCACTAATTCCTAGTATGGGTCACCATACTTGGCCACATGTCACGTCATGTCACATACTACCCACATAGACAGCTGCCTTATGAGCAAGCATCCTAACTGAAACTGAACCTTGTATTTGTCTGTTCCTAAAGCTGTATCCCTATCTGGTGGAAGTGTGACGGTCAGCGGGACTGCAGAGACGGGTCGGATGAACCCTCCACGTGTCCCGTCCGGCACTGCAGACTGGGCCAGTTCCAGTGTAATGACGGAAACTGCTCCAGCCCACACTTCCTGTGTAACTCTAATCAGGACTGTCCCGATGGGTCTGACGAGGACACTGTGCTGTGTGGTATGGAAAAAATATCATATATCATATAGCATGTCAGTATCTGCAGGATTGCTGAAATCTGGGCATGAAGCTGAAATGTTGCATGTTTGAACCCCATAATAAAATGTTGTTATAAACAGCAGTATTTACGGTACATGCATTTTTGCCAAAACTAGACTTTCATGATCAATTTTCAGTGATGATGCCAGTGTTATTGATGTACTATTAAAGTATTTTGAAGTTTTTGTATTTTCAGTTTTCATTTTAATTTTAGTTTAAGGAAATGTGCTTTTGTCTTTTTTAAAAACCTGTCTGCTTAAGCTTTAATTTATTTGTAGCTGTATTTTTTGTACTAAGGCAACATTTCTGATTTCCATTTAAATTTTTCAAGTTTAAATTTTATATGGTAATATTTATATCTTATTTAATATTTGTATTTTAATTCAAACATTTCATATTTCATTCAAAACTGAGATGTTTTAAATCATTTGTATACCATTATATCGTTTATTAATTTTTTTAAGTAGCTTGTTAGTGTTCATTTGAAATATTAGTGATTTTTCATTGTTTTAATATTTCTATATAGCTTTCATTTTAATACTTGAACTTAAACTATTTAATTTCTAATTTTTCGTTTTAGTTTTCCCGTGTAATATTTATATATTTATTTCATTTCTAACATTTAATATGTATTTAAAAATCAAACACTGATTTTGAAAAAAAAAATGTGTTAGTTTTACTTAATTTTCGTTAACAATAACAACAGTGCTATTCTGCAAGTACTCTTTAGATAGTATTATAGTTTTTATTCATATTTTTAATCACTTCTTATTTTTATATTTTCCACTTTATTTTCGTTTAAGTTTTGGTGCTTTGGTTGTGTTTTTGTCTTTTGTAGTAGTTTTTGTTTTTTATGTCTGTATAGTTTTTATTCATTTGTATTTCTGTTTTAGTTATTTTAGCAAATCAGATTAAGTAAATTAAAATGTTGCCTTGGCAACTAGCTGAAATAAAAAAGTCTTTCATTTTATTTCAGTTAACGTTAATATTTTATTTTAAGTGACATGTTTTTTTAATGGTTTTATTTTAGTTTTAGTTAACTATAATAACCCTGCTATTCTGATATCTGCTTTTGATTAAACTGTTGCCATGTATTCGGAAATGCATCTTCCTCTCCTTCTGCACTCCAGCCACGCATCAGTGTGAGTCTCATCAGTGGCAGTGTGCCAATAAGCGCTGCATCTCTGAGGCCTGGCAGTGCGACGGGGAGAACGACTGCGGCGACGGATCCGACGAGGATCCCGCTCACTGCTCCAGCAGGACCTGCAGACCCGGACAGTTCAAGTGCAGGAACGGCCGCTGCATCCCGCAGAGCTGGAAGTGTGACGTGGACGATGACTGTGGCGACAACTCCGACGAGCCCATCGACGAATGCAGTGAGCTGCCCACTCATTACTGCACTATTACAATGCATTTGTTTTGTTATTTGATTAGTTTAAATTAGAGGAAGAAAAAGCCATGCAGTATGTCATCTGTGGGATGTTGTTTGCAGTGGGTCCGGCGTACAGATGTGACAATCACACAGAGTTTGACTGCAGGACAAACTACCGCTGTGTTCCTCTCTGGGCCGTGTGCAATGGACACAACGACTGCAGGGACAACAGCGATGAACAAAACTGTGGTGAGACATCAGACGATGCACGACTGAAAACATGACTACACATGCATGGGTTAAAGACATTAAGATGTCCTCATCAAAAGAAATGTACAAAAGTGATTTTATGTCCATAGAAAGCACATTACATGTAAGTAAAGTGTCTACTTTTAAGGTTTCAAATAAGTTTTTGGAGAATAAAATGTCAAAATTTGGTTGAAATAACGTTACATTGTCATTCAGTGTAACACAATATTTATGTAAAAATTCGAACAACATTCTGACGTGTACATATTAAAATATATAAAAGATTAAGGGAGCATATTCAATTTGATTGTGTTTTAAATGAGTAAAAAGTTCTTACTGACAAATGGGCAAAACCTAGGATAGTGGCAAATTTTAAAAATGTAAAATTACAACTAATTAGTATTTGGTCATAAATTGATTTTTGTTGTAAATATGCCTGACAAGATTGTTACACTGAATGACATTTTAGTGGGTCTCTTCTGTAAAGCAGGGGGAAATGTATGATATTTATATCTTTTTGCTCAGACAAACCAAACCAAAATTGCAATTAAATTAAACAGAACTTTTTTTTTACATTTTTGGGGAAAACAACAACAATTTAAAGCAGTATTACACTTATTGTTTTTATGCTTAAACCCTTTTTGGTCTTTGACCCGCATATATTTATGTACATAAAAATGTATATAATTTAATTAATGAAATAGTAAAATATAGTAAAAGTAGTAATATTAAAATTATTAAAAAATAAAATGTAAAATTACTATGAAAATGTATTGAAAATGTATTACATGACTGAAAACAATATTCTTGCTTACAACTGAAAAATGTAGATATTTTTATTAATAAAATAGTAAAGTAATAGCAGAAGTATTAGTATGATGAAAATGTAAATGACTATACAAAAATGACTCGGTGTGATCATTTTTATTCAGAAACAGATATTAAATATTAATTGTAGATATTTAAATTATTTTAATCTAATTTCATCTAGCTTTCTAATAAACCTGGCATTATATGTTTTGAATATTGCTGGCTCTGAGATGAATTGCTTTGGATAGAAGCTTGTGCTAAATGTGTAAATGTAAATATAAATAAAACATTTTTTAGAATTATTTACAGCATTATTCAAAACTTGACTCAGTGTAACTGTTTTTATTCACACGGCAATGCGTACAACACAAAAATGTAGATATTCATTCAAAATAGTAAAGTAATATTAGAATTAATAATATTAAATAAAAATACATTCAAAAATACAAATTGTTAGAATAAAATATTTAAAAAAAACGGGTAAATCAGTATAGTGATCCATTTATTGAAAATATTCAGCAAAAATCCATTTAGCCCATGTCCAGCTTTTAGTTTTTTGTATATTAACATAAAAAACATGTTTTAAAAATTGTAAAATTTGCTTGGAAATTGGGAGTTTTTTAAAACTGTATTTAAAAAAAAAATTTTTTTGTCTTTTTTAGCAGGTTATTGTCCTTGTTTATTAAGAATTAAATATATGTGATGATCACCTTTTAAAATCCAATCAACAACCGATAGAATCCAGTCCCATGCTACTTTTTTTTTTCTTGCTCGATAAGCGTTTCACTCAAAAAAATGCCACAAAACTAGACGGAGTTTCCATTTCATGCTGACTTAAACAAAAATGACTAAAATTTACTACCAACTTTAAATTCAGTAAGACGAGTCTGTATTGCTCCCGTTATCACTGATGTTGTATAAAGCTTAGTGTGTGTGTGTGTGTGTGTGTGTGTTTGAAATCATTTTGGAGTTATTCGTCCTCTCACACTCCAGCACTACATTAGTGAGTGTTATTTCAGTCTGTCTGTGATGGACGGGCCCTCGGTGACCCCTCCTCCTGTCTGGGGCCACACCACTGATTTATGTGTGTGTTAGGCACCAGTGTGTGTGTGTGCAGTTGTGATTATTGTTACTGGTCTGAATGGTAAACCGATATACAGTAAACACACACACACACACACGCCCCATTTCTCCTGGGTCTTATCAGCTCCCGCTCGCTCCATTAGTGCCATGCTGCACAGAGAGGAGAGATCGCCCTAATCTGACTGTAAGACTGAGACAGAGGTCTGTGTGCCTGAGCAAAATGTTTCTGCCTCTTCACTTCCGCTCTGTTTAACGTTAGCTTGTGTGTGTCTGTGTTGTGTTTGCAGAGGAGTTGACCTGTGAGCCGGCGGGTGATTTCCGCTGTGATAACCACCAGTGCATCCCCCTGCGCTGGCGCTGCGATGGAGACAATGACTGCGGCGACGGATCTGACGAACACAACTGCAGTGAGTAACAGCAATGACCTCTTGGCTTCAGTCAGTTCAATATAAAACAGCAACAAACCATAGAGATAGTTAAGTAATAGTCATTATTTAATCGCCTTTGTGTGGTTCAATAGAATAAAAATTTTAATGAAAGTGAGTGAGGACTGAGGCTGTCAAGCTGCAGAAATGCAAATAAACTCCAAATAAATATCATAAATGGTCCATTTAACTCTCATGTAGCTCTTAAATCAAATATGGTGCCTTTAATGCTTGTGACATGTATGAACCAATGATACATACAGGGCAAGATATTCTGTGAATATCGACTTAATGGGATAGTTCACCCAAAAATGAAAATTCTGTCATTATTAACTCACCCTCAAGTTGTTCCGAACCTGTATGCATGTCTTTCTTCTGCTGAACACAAAATAATATATTTGGAAGAATGTGGGTAGCCAAACCGTTTCTGGTCTCCATTGACTTTTTCATAGTATTTTTTCCATAGTAAGTCAGTGGGGTCCAGCAGCTATTTGGTTAGTAGCACACTTCAAAATATCTTCTTTTATGTTCAACAGAAGAAAGAAACTCGTACAGGTTTTGAGAATTGTCATTTTTGGGTGATCTATTTCTTTCAATTTTGATTTACTCATTACATAAAGCTATTGTATGGCTTCTGAAGACTTGGAATACAATATGTGAACCTGGAGCAAAAAAACAGCGGCCAAATATTGTCCTATCCTAAAAGCTTATTTATTCAGCTTTCAGATTATGTATAAATCTCAATTTTAAACTGGTTTTGTGGTCCAGGGTCACATATATAAACCTAAAAAAACAACTTTTATTTTGCTTTTTTGTCATGTTGGCGCTTGAAAAAGAATGGCTCGGTTATCCTTTAACATTTCACTTTCTCTGTGTTTAAAATGACATGAGGGTGAATACATTATTGCTGGATGAACTGTTCCCTTAATAAGAGAGAAAGACACCTGTAAATGTGCTTTACCAGAGAAACAGTAAAGACAAAGATGAAGAGATTGAGAGGAACAGATTGGATAGACAGAGCGTGGAGGAGATGACGTGATGGCAGACAAGGTGCTGTGAGGTGTGAAAGGTTGACAAATGGTCTGCGCTAAACCTTTGAGCTGCATGTTGAAAGAAGCGCTGATTTCTTCAGCACTTTTCTCCTCCCTGCAGAAGAGCTGTAGGGGTGGTGAGCGCGGGTCACTCCCCTGATGAGTTCAGCTATGAACTCACCTCCCAAAAATGGCCCTGAAGAGCAAGCTGTATCTCATCACATAAACCTCTAGTCCTGTGACACAGTGAAGCACAGACTAATCACTGCCCTCATTTGTGTCTTGAGTTCTGCTGAACATTTTCCCACCCTCAGGCCATCCAAGATGTAGATGAGTTTGTTTCTTCATCAGAACAGATTTGGAGAAATGTAGCATTACATCACTTGCTCAGCAATGGATCCTCTGCAGTGAATGGGTGCCGTCAGAATGAGAGTCCAAACAGTTGATAAAAACATCACAATAATCCACACCAGTCCATCAATTAATGTATTGTGAAGTGTAACGCTACGTGTTTTTAAGAACCAAACTCATCATTAAGACATTTTTAACTTAAACTATTGCTTCCAGCTAAAATGCGAGTTCTCTCCTCTTAGTATTGCTTTCTCCAGTGAAAAAATTGTGCCTGGAGAGATATATGCACTCTTTACAAGTGAAAACAGTCCAAAACCGTTCTAAAGTTATATGTTGGTGGATTTTGATGTGAGAAGACAACAGGGGATGGGCTTTTACACTGCAGAAGGCATTATTATGGCATATGGACTTGTATTTTGGACAGAGGCATCAATTTAAAATTAAAAGGTCTTAATGGATTTGTTTCTTATAAACACCTTTTCACGTCACAAGATATTAATTGAAGTACTGGGGTCATTTGGATTACTTGTGGATTATTGTGATGTTTTTATCAGCTCTCATTCTGACGGCACCCATTCACTGCAGAGGATCCATTACTGAGAAAGTAATATAATGCTACATTTCTCTGAATGGCTTGATGGCGAGTACATTTTCAGCCAATTTTCATTGTAGTGTGAACTATTCTTTTAATAACACCCCTCACTTCGGCACATACCTCTCTTTGGGCTTATTGCTTTATTTGCTTGCCTCCTTAGTATGTATGTTCATGTGTGTCTGATTGACACGCTTCTTATGCATCCGCAGCCCCACGTCCGTGCACAGAGAGCGAGTACCGCTGTGACAACCTCCACTGCATTCCTGACCACTGGGTTTGTGACCATGACAACGACTGCGAGGACAATTCGGATGAAAGAGACTGTGGTGAGTGAAAGAAAAGAAGAGACAGCAGAAAGGAAAGACTATCAAAAGAGGGATGGAGAGAGCCGTGGCACTTGCCACCATGTTCAACATCATAATACTGTCTTTTTATTACAGATTGGTCCTCAGTGGGTGATAACTCAATGCAATTGTGTGCCTGGATACCTTGTGAATGACTTACAGGAAGTGTGCATAATTCATTTTCCATGTCGTATTGAGAGATTGGCTTTATTCATTGTGGATGAATGTGTTTCAGAGCTGCGGACCTGTCACCCGGGTTACTTCCAGTGCGGTAGCGGCCACTGCATCTCTGAGCGCTTTAAATGCGACGGCAACGCTGACTGTCTCGACTTCACTGATGAAAGCTCCTGTCGTGAGTGTGCTGCCATGTTGTTGTTTTTTCAAATCTATTTAAATTCTGAAATGCTCCTGAAATGTAACCAGAAGACAGCTGTGCGTTGCATTGCAGCGCCCTCTAGAGTCCAAAAGGGTTGTGCAACAGTTCCCATCATCATGCAAACATAAGGAATATCAAGGAATTTGACATTTTGATTAAAGACTATGAAGACAAACTTTTTTTTTTTTAAATATGCACAGATGAAATGTTCACAATAAGATCAGGATCATTTTGAGCAGCCAGTAGTTGAAACGGCACTAGCAATGCCAAAGTCATGGGTTTGTTTCCAACTGAATGCTTGAATGCAATGTTAGACACCTTCATCATGTATTAAGAAAGTTGACTTTGAGCTGTATGTGTGCATATTTCAGCCACACGCTACCCGAACAGCACCTACTGTCCACCCTTCCTGTTTGAGTGCAAGAACCACGTGTGTGTGCAGCAGCACTGGATATGTGACGGAGATAATGACTGCGGGGATAATTCAGATGAGGAACTGCATCTCTGCTGTGAGTATCTATCTATCTATCTATCTATCTATCTATCTATCTATCTGTCTACCTATCTATCTGTCTATCTATCTACCTATCTGTCTATCTATCCATCTATCTATCTATCTATCTATCTATCTATCTATCTATCTATCTATCTATCATTCTATCTATTGATCGTTCATTCTTTCTGTCTATAATTCTTTCTGTCGTTCTATCTATCTATCGTTCGTTCGTTAATTTGTTCTATCTATCTATCTATCTATCTATCTATCTATCTATCTATCTATCTATCGTTCTATCTATCGTTCTATCTATCTATCTATCATTCGTTTGTTCGTTTGTTTGTTTGTTCGTTCGTTCGTTCTATCTATCGTTCTATCTATCAATCTATCTATCGTTCTATCTATCATTCTTTCTATCGTTCTATCTATCATTCTTTCTATCGTTCTATCTATCGTTCTATCATTCTTTCTATCGTTCTATCTATCTATCTATCTATCTCTCTATCTATCTATCTATCTATCTATCTATCTATCTATCTATCTATCATTCTATCTATCATTCTTTCTATCGTTCTATCTATCGTTCTATCTATCATTATTTCTATCGTTCTATCTATCGATCTATCTTTCTATCGTTCTTTCCATCGTTCTATCTATCGTTCTATCTATCTATCTATCTATCAATTGTTCTTTCTATCGATCGTTCTGTTTATCTATTTTAAAAGGTTAAACATGATTATTTTGCTCAAAAATCTAACTATTATTGGTGATTATTGTCATTTTATTATTATTTTTTTCTTTACATTTAATTAGAATTATTGCACTTTCACGTAATCACAAATCAAGAGAAAGTTAACTCCAATGTTGCCTAGTCTGTGTTTTTTCTGCAGAATTGGGCTACGTTTACACTGTTGCAGTGGGTTGTTTTTTTAGTCCATGTGTTAAACATTCCCCCCAGAAAATGATTTCGATGGGAGGGGACCCACCGACAGGGGAGAAAACCACCGAAAAGCAGTTAGATTCGCAGTTAGAATGCTTTTGTTTCGCAGACCTGGCAACCCTGGTCAAATGGCAGATTTAGTCACAGCAAACAGCACAAATGACCACCTGAAAGAAAACAGACTGGCTGTATTACACTTTTACTTGAGTATAATATCTCCATTGAGATTGCTCTAATTTACATGTTTGCCAGTGTTTTCAGCTCATCAGCACGTTTTCAGTAATGAAGAGGGAACGTGTACGCGTGGTTGCCATTTTGGGAAGTTTACATAAACCACTGGGCAGAAAATGTATCGATTTAAGAGAAAAGCTCAGATTGGGGATTTAAACTATTTAAATCTGGCAACCACAGCCATAAAAGCCTGTGGAGGCTTGTTACCAATGCAAGTGGCGTATTAAAATGAAAGATTTTCAGGATAAATAACCAACAGTTAAATATTGCAGATGATTATGCTTAATAAACTGAAAGAAGCAGAAATCGTGATCCTGATCAAAATGCGGTTTATCGCACAGCCCGACTATCCAACTAAACTTTCTTTTTGTAATATAATTTGTATATTATATCAGTTAAATAATGCAATAAAGTAGATATGGAACAAAGTGCACAACCGTCATGTTTCTTGTCTCCTCAGTGGACATCTCATGTGATCCTCCGTTCCGTTTCCGCTGTGATAACACCCGCTGCATCTACAGTCACGAGCTCTGCAACTCTATAGATGACTGCGGTGATGGAACCGACGAGAGACCGGAGCATTGTGAGTGACAGCCAATAGATTGTTAACCAAATATACTATTTACCTATTAAACCCTTTTAATTCCCTAACTTCTATTGAAGCTAGTAAAACACCCTGTTTTGTGTGAATGACTCCTCAGGTGTGACTCCCACACATGGGCCCTGCTCTGCAGACGAGTATAAATGTGGGAACGATCAGTGCATTCCTCTGCAGTACGCCTGCGACGACTACGACGACTGTGAAGACCAGACCGATGAACTCGGCTGCTGTGAGTTTTGCTCAGTCACTCACCCTCATGTAGTTTATTTTCTTTCTTGCATAAACAAAAGTGGAGCAAGCACCAAAAACTAAAAAAAAAATCTTAGCGCTCTAGATCCTTTTGCCTGCACATCTTTGTAACATTTCTTCATCTGTCTCTGTTAGACTACGGCCATGGACGCACATGCAGTGAGAATCTGTGTGAGCATAACTGCACAGATTTGTCGACCGGAGGCTTCATTTGTTCCTGTAGACCTGGATATAAACCCAACCCGGAGGACAGGAACAACTGCAATGGTTTGTGGCGTTGTCTGAATACTGTATTCATTAGAAAACCTCAATATTTACTTCTTTATTGGAAGACAGGCTTATAGTGGTGCTCCAGAAGCCAAACAGGACAACAGGAACTCAGTCATTTATGACACTTCATTCTACAAAAACAACAGCTCGTTCATTACGCCATTTCTGTCATTGCACATGTGCAGTACTTTCCAGTTTCCGTATTCAATCCGATCAAGAGTTTAGGAGCTCAGTCGGATCGATTAAGGTGTTTACATGAAGCCTTTTCAGTCTGATTGAGCCATTTACCAGCGGATTATTTGGTTGCATGTAAACGTAGCTAGTGTTGCAAAGTTCATCAGTTATAAAACTAATTCTATTCATCTATAAGCAGCTCAACAGATGCAATAGTATGATTAATTAGCTCAAGTCAGTTCAGTGTTATATTAGTACCACTGAGATAATATTATAGTTTGTATTAATATTTTGAATTAAGTTTATTTTTGCATTTTAATTTTAGTTCAATTTAGTTGTGCGTATCATTCATTCATTTTATTTCAGTTATTTTTAGTACATCAAGTTAAACTAAATTCTAAATTCTGAGAAATTTTGCCTTGGCAACTAGCTGAAAAAAAAAGTTTCCTTTTTTTGTGTTTTATTTTATTGCAGTTAACGATTATTTTAATTTTAAAAATTTTCATTTTAGTTTCACGTAGTTATAATAAACCTAGGTTCAATTCAGTTCAATGACAGTGTTGATG